GCTCAAGCCTTTAATCCCAACACTTTGGGATACTAAGGTGGGCAGATCACCTGAGGTCAGGAGTTCGAGACCAGCCTGACCAACATGGAGAAACCCCATCTCTACTAAAAATAGAAAAATTAGCCGGACGTGGTAGTGCATGCCTGTAATCCCAGCTACTCGGGAGGCTGAGGCAGCAGAATTGCTTGAACCCGGGAGGTGGAGGTTGTGGTGAGCTGAGATGATGCCCTTGCACTCCAGCCTGGGCAACAAGAGCAAAACTCTGCCTCAATAAATAAATAAATAAAAATAAAAATAAAATAAAGCTATTGAAGATGTTTGCCCAAGGTGGCCTCATAGCATAGTGACTTGCTTCTGTCTGCCTGTCTTCACTCTCTTGGTTCAGCAGTTCAGTAAAAGTTATCAGCAACATGCCCTACCTCATTATGAAAAGGCTCCACTATAAAACTATTCATAAAAGCATGATAAGCAGTATCATGGTAAGTACCATAATAGAAATGTAACATTCTTCTTGCCATAGTTCCTGCAAAAGTGGAGAAAACTTCCCAAGTGGTGGCCTTCAGGCAAAACCAGCAGTAAAAGGCACTTTTAGAATCACACACATCCTACCAAGGGAAAAGAATCAGCCATAGAAAAATAATATAGCTAGTAGAAGCACATCACACTCCAGGCTAGAAAACAATTTTGCAAGACTCAGTGCCACAGGAAGCCCACAATGTGTTTCTATTCTGACAAAAAATGAGGAATATCACAAACATTTGAAGGTATTCATCCCAGAGGTCCAAATAGCAGGTTCAGAGTCAGCAATCTGAATGCTGCTCTTTTCCCATAATGGGTTTTCACTGTGACACAGCCAACAGTCTCTCTCTCCGGGGAATGATTCAGGGCGTAGGTTCAATCTTGCTGGAATCAGGAGAGACTTCACTCTGACACATTCTTTCTCAAAGAGGGTTTTTATTATTATTATTAGTAGTAGTAGTAGTAGTAGTAGTAGTAGTAGTAGTAGTAAAACAAAATAAGCTACCGGATGTAAGGCAAGTAAGCCTACAGACTAACAGAATTCATTCTGCATATGAGGAACCCTAAGTACGAATTCAACTTCCGTGTGTGTGACTGTGTCCTAACACTCTTTACACTAGAAAAACAGGCTATAGTTCTATACACATTTCTCCATATGTGCTGAAACATGGTCAGGTCCCATCTGCAAATTTACCTTTGTAAATCAGCTGTAAAGGTCATCCTTATATTCCATCCCTTGAGGAAAGTTGAAAAGCAGATTTGTACCTCACCATTAAAGACTGCGAAAGCACTACTGACTCTGAAATGTTTAATACTCTTGTAAAGTATATCCTTACACTTGCTGTAAGAAATACTTTCATTTATAGCTTGTTTGTGACAGCTGGCATCATCCAATTATCCATGCCAGGGGCCACTGTGGAAATAGGACGAATTAACATTTGCATTTCAGCTTCGGCTACCCTAGCAGGTAGGATAAAGGTCTTGGAGAGGAAGGATGACCAGTAGTGTAACTCTTAAAAGTATCCCTTAATCTGTAGGCCTCTCTAAGGCTTACAGAATTATACAAAGTTCAGTATTTCCATATTTTATTCCAAATAGCTAGTACCAAGGATGCTGGAACAAATGTCTAGTTTGAATGAAGTTTAATTCCAAAAGGTTCTCCATTTCAAGACAAAATCTAAAATAGTAAATCAAACTCAAGCTCAACTCAGGCCCAGGATGGCTCCACTGCTGAGAACTGAATTGCCATCATATCTGTCCAGCGGTCAGCACTGCTCAAGAGCAGGCTTCTAGTACTGCCTGGGATGCACAGAGTTGAGCAGGAGAGTATTGGAACCATGTACTCCCTATCTACAGTAGGCAGATTTCCATTTCTGAGCTGAACATTTGAGGACAGCTGCTGAGGCAAAATGCCTGTGCTGTAGCCAGAAATGGTAACCCTAAAGTTCTTGGGAAATCACATTTTGTAGTGTTGGACTAGGCAGACTGGTTTAGGTATTCCACAACTGGAGAGAAGGACCCAGTCCATCTGGGCCACTCAGTTTGTCAGAATGGAGTCCGGATCCTCTTCAAAGGATATGTATCTGTAGAAGCTGCTGGCAATGGGGACTGGTTGGGGTTGGCAGATGAGAGTGAAAGTTTTGTTCCCTTATTCTAGAAGACAGGGATCATATTTGTAATCCCAAAAGGTGATCAGAATTGTTACTTTAAAACTCAAAAACAGATCTACAGACCACCAACTATAGTGAAAGAAGGTGGTAAGTTTGGGGCAGGCTCTTTAAGTGCAGAAGGTTCCCTGCCTTCGTCAAAACATCTTATGTCTGGGCAACTGGCTACTTTCATATACTGATTCATTTTTCACAAATAATGCAGGAAAAAGATTTTATGTTCTCCCAGAAATAACTGTCCATTTGTCTCACAAGATAACAGCTCACTGACAATGCACCTAAGTTAGTCAAGAGCTCTGATGAAGATTTACAAGAATAATGTTTCCATGCCTAACACATCTATTCTGTAGTCCATGCATAAATGTGTAACTGTGATTTTCAAATTCTAATCATTTAAGAAACATGTTTTGTAAGGTTACAGTAGACATAGTCCTTAATATATAAAGTTGCTATAATCCTTCAGGAAAGGATTCGCCATTTTAGATGCCATTAAGAACATTCGCGATTCATGGGAGAAAGTAAAAATATCAACATTAACAGGTGTTTGGAAGTTGATTCCAACTCTCAAGAGTGGCTCTGAGGGGTTCAAGGCTCCAGTGGAGGAATGAACTGCAGAAGTGGAGCCTGAAGATGTGACTGAATTGCTGTAATCTCATGCTAAAACTTGAACAGATAAGGAGGTGCTTCTTATGGAGGAGTAAAGAAAGTGGTTTCTTGAGATAGGATCTACTTAGGGTGAAGATGCTGTGAACGCTGTTGAAATGACAACAAAGGATTTAGAAAATTCCATAAATTTAGTTGTGAAGCAGCAGCAGGGTATAAGGATTGACTCAAACTTTGAACAAAGTTCTACTGTGGGCAAAATGCTACCAAGCAGCACTCCATGCTACAGGGAAATCTTTTGTGACAGGAAGAGTCAATCAAGTGGCAAAGTCCATTGCCTTATGCTAAGAAACTGCCACAGTCACCCAACCTTCCAGAAACTACCACCCTGATCAGTCAGCATCAACTTTGAGGCAAGACCCTCTACCACTAAAAAGATTACAACTTGCTAAGGGCTCAGAAGATCTTTGGCATTTTCTGACAATATTTTAAAATTAAGTTATGTATATTTTTAAAGATATAATGCTATTGAAACACATTATAGACTTCAGTGTAACTTATATATGCATCAGGAAACTAAAAATTTTGTGATTTGCTTTATTGTGATATTTGATTTATTGCCGTGGTCTGAAACCAAACCCACAATATCTCTAATGTATGTCTGTATAAGTTCCTAAGCATAGTATGGGGGCATATCTAACTAATGTGTAACATTTGAAGTAGTGGCTATTCTTGAATTTACACTTTCACGTGAATTTTAGAATCAGTTTGACCAGCTCTAAGTCCTGTTGAGAGTTTTAAAACAGGATTGAAATGAATTATTTACAATATAACCTTCCATTCATGGCCGTGATATTCTTCTCCATTACTGAGGTTTTCTTATCTTTCAAAAAAGGACATAAGACCCTAGCATATTTCTTGTTAGGCTTTTCCTAGGTGATTTTTAATTGTTATTATAAATAATATCCATTTTCCCATAAAATATTGCTATATGTTTGTATATTAATCTTGTACTGTTACTTTTTTCAACTCTATTGGTTCTGATAGCTTGTCAGTTGTCTACCTTTCATCTTCTAGGTAAATATTTCTTACAAATAATGAGATTTGCTCCTACTTTCCAATTTATCTCATTACCTTTACTTGTCTTACTGTACTGGCTAAGGCACCCAAGAATACTATGGAATAGAAGTTGTAGAGGATATCCTTGTTTGATCCCTGAAAAGAATTCTTCTAGCATTTTACCCTTGTATATGATGATTACTAGAGATAACTTTTAACAAGTCAACAAATTTCTAGTTTGATATATTTTTTTAACCAAATATGGTGTGGTGGTTTTAAATGTAATCTACTCCAGTTAAAGACTATGACAGTCTGTATTATTATCACTATTCAAACTCATGAATAACGAACAGTAACAAATAATGTTTTACTTTAGCACCCAGGAAGCTCAAAACCAAACGATCTGAATATAACAACTCTGCACAGCATAGCCTGCTCATCTATATGACATTGACGCTATTCCTTCCCCCAAATACCGCCTATTCTAACTTACATTATCCTAAATATTTTTCTCTTGTTTTTCTATTTTACTGAGTGGATTTCATATCAATTGCCATATATTTTTAATGAAATAAGATAAAGTATAAATAAAAATATTTTAAAAATGTGGCTATCTTTGGATTTAAAGTGAAAAATGTGATACAACCAGGATAGTATATCACATGGAGATCTAACACTATGACTAACAAACCTACTGGGTGATGTGAATTAATAATTTGGCCGGGCAAGGCGGCTCACGCCTGTAATCCCAGCACTTTGGGAGGCCGAGGCGGGCGGATCACAAGGTCAGGAGATCGAGACCATCCTGGCTAACACGGTGAAACCCCGTCTCTACTAAAAATACAAAAAAATTAGCCGGGCGCGATGGCGGGTGCCTGTAGTCCCAGCTACTCAGGAGGCTGAGGCAGGAGAATGGCGGGATCCCGGGAGGCGGAGCTTGCAGTAAGCGGAGATCGCGCCATTGCACTCCAGCCTGGGGGACAGAGCGAGACTCCGTCTCAAAAAAAAAAAAAAAAAAAAAGAATTTGGTTCAGAGGAAATCAAGTATTTAAACTGAGGTCTGCTTATACACATGGTTAAGCTTATTTGTCATGAGTAGTCATTAGTAAATACATGTTAATTTCATACAATTAAAAAGAAACCCACAAACCATTGGCATTTTGATTAATACATGATTAATAAGTCTGAACATACAATCTTAGATCATTATAAATTCTTTTTGAAACGTAGGCTGGATGCAGTGGCTCACACCTGTAATCCTAACAAATTGGGAGGCCATGGAAGGTAAAAAGCTTGAACTCAGAAGTTCAAGACTACCCTAGGCAACATAGTGGGACCCCATTTTTACAAAAAATTACAAATATTAGCCAGGCATGGTGGTGGGCACCTATAGTCCCAGCTACTTGGGAGGCTGAGGTGGAAGGATCACTTGAGATCACAAAGTCGTGGCTGCAGTGAGCCAAGATCACTCCAGCCTGGGCAACAGAGCAAAACCCTTTCTAAAAACCAAACAAACAAAACAACAACAACAACATTGATCTTATAATTGAGTGATAAAACTAAAAAGTCATCACCTCTCCTAACAAAAATGTAAACAGGACCCATAATTTATGATTTGATTGTCTTTCCTTTGACTGGGCTTTAACATATATGTTTCTGTAATTTAAATAAAAATCTATTTACTTTCTCCATTTTAGCAAATGGTTTCTTTACCCAAATAGGTTGCACCATAGTCCCCACATGGTTTTCTACTGTTCCACAACCACTATTTCACAAAGATTGACAAAACTTTAATAAAAGTTAAATTTATAGACATCTTAAGATAACTTGGGAAATATGCAGTAAAAAAGAATCGAGTCCACAAATTATGAATATTTTACCAATATGTCAAACACCAATTTCAGCAAATCCAATCTACCTAACTCATATGTTTAATGTGGCAAATTTTCTTTCTTTTTTTTTTTTTTTGAGACGGAGTCTCGCTCTGTCGCCCAGGCTGGAGTGCAGTGGCGCGATCTCGGCTCACTACAAGCTCCGCCTCCGCCCTTCTCCTGCCCCAGCCTCCAGAGTAGTTGGGACGGACAACAGGCGCCCGCCACCACGCCCGGCTAATTTTTTTTGTATTTTAGTAGAGACGGGGTTTCACTGTGTTAGCCAGGATGGTCTCGATCTCCTGACCTCGTGATTCGCCCGTCTTGGCCTCCCAAAGTGCTGGGATTACAGGTGTGAGCCACCGCGCCCGGCCTTAATGTGGCAAATTTTCTAACAAAATTTAATGGGCGTATGAATGATATATTTATGCCCTTGACAAAGATGACATGTTTGATTTTGTTGTGACTAAGAAAGAAGAATATGATTTCTGGTGGTGATTATATCACTCTGGCTCATCAAAGCTCACAGAATGTGTAAGGTTCTGCCACATCCAAAGATGTTAGGCAAATGTAATAGAAGGTGCACCAGGCTGACACACGTTTTCATCATACAAATCTTCTGGCAGTTCCTCTTCATCTCCATCAGGAAAATATGTAGGGAATGGTAGATTTTTACCAAGATCCTTATATGCAGGCAGTTTAGAATCTCTGACCTGAGAGAAGGCAAAAATCGTAGTAAGTGATACGAATTAAGTTCTTTAAAGGTAGCCTTTTCAGCGATTATTCATAATCAAAGAAATACCCGCTACTACATTTTCTAATGTGAGTAACATGACTGTTACGTATATAGAGTAAAAAGAACTCAGTCAATGCTTTCCTTTAATTCTAAAAAATCTGACTAACCCAGTAACAGAAACTCAAGCTATAAGGATAAAATCATCAATTATTATTTATATCTTAACTTATAAGAATCTCTAGGACTGTCCCACAGGATAAAATCACACTCTAAAATTACGACTTGAATTTCATTTATATGGATTCATTTTCAAATATAATGACCTGACAAACTAGCATTTTTGTTAGTCTTAACTCTCAGAGCACATAATCAAAAATATCACTTCTTATTAAGGAAATTAGCTTACATTTTTCTTCCCCTACCAAAAGAGTCATTTCTCCAGCAAATAAAACAAATAAACAAGATTGTATTTCTGTGTCACATGGTCAAAAAAAAAAAAAAAAAAAAAAAGTCTTGCATTGATGGAAGATTTAAAGATAATTCTTCAGCATTTTCAAATTTGGGTGAGGGCCTTTAAGTTGAGATTATTTTATATATCAAGTTGAAACTATTTTATATCATCCTTGATTTAGTACTGAATATTCCCAAGGCCTTAGTGCATTTTCTGCTTATAGGTGTGAGCAACAAGAACCAATCCTATCTTCATACACAATAAATGCAGCATGATGTATGTCAGAGCATACATTCTTACTGAGAAGTTAAAGACAGAATAATATTTAACAAAACCAGTAACAGACCTATGAATCTCTATAAGAGTTCTGTTAACTCTATATATTCTCAAAAATTCTAATTATATCTGTGAATTCATAGACTGAACAATTTTAATATAGGTACTGATGTGATCTAAAATGTTGAGTTTTATTTTTGGAAAATATTGGATTATTCAGAACTTCTGACTCATTCTACAGCCTTCATTCATAAGTAAATTTAAAAAAATTTACATGTAATTGTATACACAGAGTAAAATGAGGCATAATTACTTTAGCAATAAGAAATGAATAATTTGGTTGAAATAAGGTACACAGCTGCTAGGAACAGCCTGGTACAGAAAAACAGATCTACTTTAATCCCTCTTATTAAAATTGTTTCAAGAAATTATGAGTACATTACCCAGAAGAAAGTAAACTTGCTTAGTTTTGTCCCCCAATCCATTAATCTTGGGTTGAACTTTAAGAAGGGAAAAAAGTCATATTCTTACCATATTAAATTTGCTCAGTATTTAGGATTGAAAATAAATCCCAAGCAAAAAATCCAATAAAACCAATTACAACAAAACTTTCTGTGCTAATTTGAGAAATAAAAATTGTCATCAATGACCCAAAGAGATACTTCTCAGCTGCTTTCACACTTTTATAGAACTATTACACCTGATACATATTTTAGATAATAGAAGCACTGTTTATAAAACCTAAGTATTATAATTCATGGATCTGAAACGTTAATGACATCTCATCTCAACCATTTTTGTCTCGGTGGTGCAAAAGTTGAGGGCCAAAGATCTGCAGTCCATATGTATTTTTGTATTTTGTATTTAATCTTACCCCAGGTTTACTATTAATGTATTTTGTATTTAATCTTACCCCAGGTTTACTATTTCCCTGCCTGCACCAGGACTCCCTCAATTATCTACCTCATTCTTTTTATGTCTATCAGCAAACCAGTCTAAATCTTCTAAGAAAATATGGGGGAAGGGCAGACAAAAACCAGGCAAATCTGAAAATAAATTATATATAGGACATAGGAATGAACATGAATGAACAGTATTTTATAACATACATTTATACTTATTACGCTGTAAACAATAGTTCTCTAGCCTTCATTAATACATTTAGTGAATCTGAACAGCAAAACAAAAAGCTCAAGACAGTTAAACAGGTTGGTCATCTCTAAGACTATCTTTAAAAACTTTAGGATCTTAAAAAAAAAAGTTATTGGTAACCCTGTACTCTGAGGAAACAAAAGCTCCCAAGACGTGAGTGGATGTTAACAAAGTTGGCTGCCCACTAGGAAATGGCTCAAAACCCGTGGGCAAGGAAGGACTAATTTACCTGCTATGGAATCAATGGGAGAACGGAAATAATGGAGTGAAAGGACATAGCAAGTTTTATCATTTAAAACACAAACCTACAAAATGTTCCCCAAATTCATAATTTAATTAATGCCTGGGCAGATTCTTTAAGGTTACAAAAGAAAGTTATTTAAGCACCATATTTCAAAGATTTTTTTAAAGGATAAGTTCTTTTATTATATAAATACACTTGCTAAAAATATATTCACTAGTGTGTTAATAGTTCAAAGGGGACTGGACATTGTTCTGATGCCACAGTTTCTCAAAATGTATTTAGACTCCTCTTTCAGAACTCTTTGGTGTATCTTCTGAGTATCTTCAGTGATAGCAAACTATTATCAATTATGAGAGTGAATGGAGTTTTTGGAAGCAACCTTTTATTGAAGTAGGCGATAAATCTGAGTAATAAATGTTACTGGTTATCAACTATTAATTTATACAACTACATCAGAGTGTCATTGTATGTACTATGGTTTTTCAAGATAATTGACCATTCATCTTTGCTGGTGGCAGGGATATTGTAGAAGTACTTGAGAAGATGTTGTAGTAGTACTTGAGAAGTCACAGCAATCAATGGTAAGGTTCGGCTAGAAAACCAGGCTAGAATCATGTATGTAGAAAAATGGGCAGAAAAGGAGGATTTGACATTTAAAAATTAATCTGGTGACCAGTATACTTTTATTACAAAAAATAATCCTTCTCCTTTATTAGACTATGCTATTTATAACCTGTGATCTGAAATGTGGGGCCAGGGATATGAAGATATGTCTTCATATGAATTATGAAGACAAAATACTATGGGAAGTACAATGACAATCCTCTGGCTTCAACTGCCTGTCATTGTAAGTATGGCTGCCTTACTTGGGGACTAGAAATCTACTTAAACTTAAAAACCCACAAACTTAAGGAAAAAACAAAACTTATAAAAGTTCATCAAATGCATTTTTCTTTCCTTTTTTTTTTTTTTTTTTTTAAAAGAAGCTAGGTTCCACTCTGTTGCCCAGGCTAGAAAGCAGTGGTGTGATCATAGCTCACTGCAGCCTCCAATTCCTGAGGCTACGTTATCCTATCCTCCCACTTCAGCCTCCTGAGTAGCTGGAATTACAGATGCAAGCCACCAGGCCTGGCTTAAATGCATTTTTTTCTTTAAGAAAAACGAGAATAATCCAGTCAGTAAAGTGAAGTGTCCCAGAAAGGTAATTTTAAAAAGCAAAACTCTTATTCCTTGTAAGATTTCAAAAAATTATTCCTTATACTAGAAATGAAAAAAATATATATAAGGAAACACTGAGTTTAAAAAGTCAGAGGTTTAAGTTTCACTATTTCTTTGCTGCTATCATTGGAAAATCAATGAATAATATACTCTGGAGAAGAGGTGACATCATGTCTAATACAAACTTATCTTCAGCATGGAAGATTCAAAACTCAGAGGTAAGAAAATCTGTATTATGTTGGAATAAACCCCATGCAGAATATTTATTTTGTATTTTATGGAAGTAAGTCTCTGAGAACTTAAAGAGTTTTTCTTAAAATGTATCTATCCGTACAAATTTTTTACTTTTTTTTTTTTTTTAAAGAAAAACACTTAAAGATGTAATCAGAGCATGTGTGCTAGTAATGATAAAAAAGCTCCTCCTCAAATGGCTACCTTTAACCACTTTTGATGATTCCAATTTTTACCTCATGTATTTCTGGTTTGTCAAAGTAACTCTTTTAAAAGTCAAAAAACATTTTTGGGGGGAGTGGGGGCAGGGTTTACTTATAATTGACACATAATTGTACATATATATGGGATACCGTGTGATGTCTCAATACATATATACATTGTATAACGATCAAATGAGGATAACTAGCAAATCTATTACTTTAAACATGTATCATTTCTTTGTGGTGATAACATTCAAAATCCTGTTTTCTAGCTATATTGAAATATACATTACTATTAGCTATAGTCAGTCCTTACTATATAACAGAACACCGGAATATATTCTTCTTAACTAACTGTGCTTGTAGACCACCTCCCCCAGCTCTCCTCCCCACTATTTTCCCCCAGCCTCTGGTAAAACCATTCTGCTCTCTACTTCTATGAAATCAACTTTTTCAGATTCCACATAAAAGTGAGATACAATATTTGTCTTTCTGTGCCTAGTTTATTATACTTAACATAATGTCCTCCAGGTTTATCCGCGTCACCACAAACAATAGCAATTTATTCTGTTTTATGGCTGAAGAATATTTTAGTGTGTGTATGTATTCTCTAGAATATTCTTCAGCCATACATACACACACACACACACACACACACACACACACACTTTATCCATTCATTTGTAGATGGGGCACTTTAAAAAAGCTAACATGTTCCTTTTGGAAGGACAAAGATATACTGCTATTTTGGCAATAGTTATCCAAATATCCTTCTCATACTCCTGAAGATCTTTCTGCTTACTGGCCTGATACGGTTTGGATTTTTGTCTCCGCCCAAATCTCATGTCAAATTGTAATCCCCAATGTTGGAAGAGGGGCCTGGTGGGAAGCGACTGGGATCATGGGGGCAGACTTCCCCCTTACTGTTCTCGTGACAGTGAGTTCTCACAAGATCTTGTTTAAAAATATGTAGCACCTCCCTTTCCCTGTCTTCCTCCTGCTCCAGCCATGTAAGACATGTCTGTCTCTCCTTCCCCTTTTGCCATGATTGTAAGTTTCCTGAAGCCTCCCTAGCCATGCCTCCCGTACAGCCTATGGAACCACGAGCCAATTAAACCTCTTTTATTTATACATTACCCAATCTCAGGTATTTCTTTATGAGTCCATCCATTCTATTAGGATGGACTAATACACAGCTTTACCCTTTTTACAGGTTCTTGGTTTTACAGAAATAGAATACAGGTTATCTTGTGCATTTTTTTCACTCAGGTGCTACTAAAAAGCAGAAAGATTCAGTAAAGAACGTGTGAAAAAACAGCCATTTATTTATAAGTCACATATATGAGTCAAAGGAGACTTTATGGCAAATATCCACACACATAAACAATAGAACATAAAGACAGTAACTTGTCAGCTTGCGAGTAAGAAACAAAAAAAAAGAAAAAAAAAGGAAAAAAAAAGAAGACACTTATACTTACCTTTACTAAGCAATTTTTATGTCCAGGTACAGAGCCATTTACATAGATTATGTTGTGCTTTGTGTTTATTCTCCACACCTAAAGCATGAAATAAAACCAAAAATTTTAGGATATACTTGTATTAAAACAAACAATGTTATTAAAAGCTAAGGATGGAAGTTGCTTGTAAAGTAAATAATCTTATCAGTGCTTCAGAATGTTGAATAAGAATTGAAAAACTTCAAGTCCTATGGATGACTTGTAATAGAAGACCACAGCAGATATATCTTATGGAAGTAGTAGAAAACTCTCATTTTAAATAGAGATCTCTGTGACTGAATGATCAAGACTATTTGGATATCTCAAAGGACTCTGTTGGCACCATTAACAATAACAAGTGGAAATTTAATTTAATTTAATTTTTAGTTAATACTACCTTGCTGTAACTACAGGCTGGAGAAGCTGCGACCTCACCGATTCTAATTTCTAAAGTAAGGAGACTGAGTAGATGGTCCTCAAAAGACCTTCATGTGGAGAAAAAGCTTAATAAATGGGAAAGAATGATTGGTCAAAAAATGGTACTGAGAAAATAAAATATTTGGAGAAGAAATCAAGTTTGACCCATGCCTCCTATCTAATAATGAATAAATATTAAATATTACAGAAATTGAAATCACACAATGGATGAAAATATAGCAAATAGATGGTCTCTGATGAGTACAATTGTAATAGAAGGGGTAAAAAAAATCTTAGGTTTAAGTATACAAAATTTGAAAACTTCTCCTGGTCAAAATTTATATATAAAACGTATCCAAAATAGAGACTGGGAGGATATGCACCAAAATGTTTCCAGTAATTGTCTTTGGGTACTGTTCTTATGAGTAGCTTATTTTCTTCTTTGTACTTTCTACACTTTAAAACATATATGCAAACAAATATAAACATTAGTTGCTTAACAGAAATATAGTTATACAGCATCCATTATAGCATAACTCAGTTTTACTTAGATACATTTCTCATTGGTAGAGACTGAATCCAACTTCTCTTAAATACACATAAATATTTTTTATAAAAATGGATGTATATCGCAATCCTTTTGTAGTGCTATTGTTTCCTCCTATTTTGATTGTCTCCCACTCTCCTTCTCCTTACCTACATCCACTTCCACACATACACATCTGATATATAATCCAAGAACCTGGTATATACCCTTCCACTCTTCTGTGATTATATGATGGCACAGCAACATACATATGTAGAGAGCTTTTGTTCAATCTTTTACTCAATAAAGAGTATTAAAGTGAATGCTCTGAAACTTATTTTTTTCATGCAACAATATCTTGTAAAAATCTTCCAGGTCCAAGAGAGGACTACTAATTTTGTCTCTTTAATGACTGCACTTTTCATGGCTTGAAATATACACTAACATTACTACCACTATGACTACAACTAGAGTGTACACACACACACACAATTCATGTATCCTCTTTTCCTCAATAATTTTAAAGCCTATTAGAACAATGGTACATAGACACAGATTAAATACATATTCTGCTGCCTTTGCATTTAGACAATTTAGCTGTTCCTAAAAAGAACCACTTGTAAAACTTACTTTCAGTCCATACGCTGTCCTATATATGTTTCCCATTTTTCCAGGCATTTTAGTTCCAGGCCAGACTCTGCCAATATCCTAAATGAGAAAACTAAAGTTAACACTTTTAAGTACTATCAATTTTAAACAGAACTGATCAAACCACAATGCAAACTAAAAATATAAATTATTAAAATGTTTTATTTTTCCCCTATTCAGCTAGGTCCCAGTAAGGAACTAAATATGGATTCAGACATATTTACTCCTAGAGGATTTCCTTTCTAAATGAGACTAGACTGACAAAATAAATACAGACTAAGAAACAGATTTAGGAGAAAAACTCAGTAACAACTGACCTAATACTGGGTAAGAATTAAAAAAGGACAAGGGCATACAGACACACCGACACATCATTCAAAGAAAAAAATGGACTGCCAGGCCTGTTTTGAACTCATCTTCTGCATTAACTGACTTAATGGACTTCATCCATATAACTGGTGCTGGGATGGTCCTACTCCTCTTTGCATTAGATGTTACTTTCCTTGATCAAAATATTAAAGGACAGAGTTAGTTATCGGAATACTCAGTTTGTCTAGCCCTGGTTTTCTCTGATTTATATAAATCTAACAGCTTCACACAGTCTCTGATTTTGGCTCTGATAATGGATGATAGTTCTGTATCTAAAGAAGCAAATCTGAATTACGACTAAAATGGAACAGCTTCTTACAATACATGAATTCTCAGAATATAAACACTTTTCCATCAGCTGCTCTCACAATAACAGGTGAAACTTCATCATGGCATTAGATATGTTTAATATGTAACCAACATATTGGTTACTTATCAACATGGCATTAGATAAATACCTCATCATGGCATTAGATATGTTTAATATGTAACCAATAGGCTTAAAAGACAATTCTGAGTATTATAGACTAAGTATCACTCTTATTCATTCTACAAATATATTCCATTATACATGACTACAATGTTCCAGTAGACAGAACTAAGGCATATACACACACACACATCCCTCTATTTCTCTGTGTGTTACATTTTTCCTTGTGTGCATGCATGCATTCCCCTCCCCCACCAAGCAGTATATGCATACTTATAGTTTGAATTCAACACTATAGGGTTCATTTTAATTTTCCCATTTTCAAACTTTAATGCCCTTTTCCAATAGTGAGAAACCTAGCTCCATTATCAATATATTTACTTATCTGCTCAATCCTACAATTCACAGAAAATTATTTCAGAATTGCTAACTGATACTAATTCAAAAGACAAACTGAATTCAACATTTGCACAAAGTACCTTTTAAATTTAGACTCAGGGTATATACAGTCAAACTACAGATGCTCAGCTAACCTTCTGGAATATAACTAATTCTAGTCTGGCTCTGGGAAATGAGTGAGGGGCAAGGATCCATAAAAGTGTGACAAGTACTTGGAGCCCCCCGGTGTCAGACTAAAATTATGTGACTTCATATCAAGGATAGACTGAGGACTACATGTGCAGAAGTTGAATATTTAGCATTAAAAAGAGCTTCACTAGTTATACTCACACCAGTTGAAAGAGCTCCAGGTCTCCTGTGGGTTTTCGTTTGACCATGCGTAGCAGGCTGGCCTTTAAATCCCCATCTTTTCACGACTCCTTGAAAACCTTTACCAATACTGAACAAAACAAACGTTAGAATTTACATAATGAAAAGAGCATAGACTATTCCCAATTGTACACTTTCCAGTACCAACTGTACACTTTATTGTTAGAGTTTTAACAAAGCTTCTTATCTAAATAACTAGAAAAGGCTATACAAGTAAAACTGCAAATAAACATTCTTTTATCTCTGTCCTGGTCTGCACCCCTTCCTGGAGTCTAATTCTATATAAAATGATTAATTCAAGATTGTGAGACACCAGCGAGTTAAGCACAGGGAATTTTATCTGAACAGGAGTTTTATCATCCTAATCCTGTGAAGATGACACAGTAAAAATGGAAAAGCTCTAGAAGTTTCAAAGTACTTAGAACAGATATGGCAAGCAGCCATTAAGATGGAACCCAAAGATCACCACCTCCTGGTACTCATGCTCTTGCTTAATTCCCTCCCCTTGAATTTGGGTGAACCCAAATAAAATATGGCAAAAGTGATGAGATGTCACTTCTGAGATTTGGTTACAAAGAGACTGTAGCTTCCATCTTGGTACTCTCTTGCTTGCCAGGCTCTGAAGGAAGCCAACTTCCACAGTTAGTGTAAACTGTCCTATGGAGAGACAAGCCACAAGGATGTCTCCAGCTATTAACGAAGGAGCTGAGGTCCACCAATGGCCTATTAGTGGGTATGAAGATAGAGTCTCCCCAGTTAGAACCCTGACATGACTACAGCCCTGGCTGATACTTGACTGCAGCCTTGGGAGAGACCCCAAGTCAGAGGCATCCAGCTAAGTTATAATGGGATTGCTGAGCACAGAAAACTGAGATAATAAATGTTTTTTACTTTAAGCTATTAAGTTTTAGGATAATGTGTTAGGCAGTAAAAGATACTAGTATAATAGAGGACTAAATAGAAAAAAATAATGCTCTAAATGCTGAACAAATTTTATTTTAGAAGATATCAGAAGGATCTTCATCTCAGGGTTGAGAAGAAACAAATGGAGAAATAAAATCAGAGAGTAATAATTTCTTACTATCTAAAATCTCCTTTTAAAATGAAATCACTCTATTTTCAAATTCTGTTAACTTAGAAGAACACCCCATGATCCAGGTAGAAAGCAAACAAAACTAAAACTCAAGCATTATTAAAGTTTGTTTCTGAAATGCTCAATATATTAGGTATAAAAGGTATGTAGCTTGAAACAACAAAGGCCATATGACAAACATACTGATGTTATGCTTTCAGCTATTCCCCTAAGATCAGGAACAAGACAAGTATGCCCACTTTCACCACTTCCATTCAACACTGCTAGAAGTCTTAGAGCAATTAGGCAAGATAAAGAAATAAAAGGTATCCAAATTGTAAAGGAGAAAGTAAAGTTGTCCCATTTGCAGATGGTATATATAGGAAATCCTAGACTCCACCAAAAAAGTGTTAGAATAAATTCAGTAAAGTTGCAGGATATAAAATTAATGTATAAAATTGGTAGTGTTTCTATGTACTAACAGTGAACTATTTGAAAAAAAAAATCAAGAAAACAATTCCATTTCCAATAGCTACGAAAAAATAAATAACCAGGAATAAACTTAATAATGGAAGTGAAAGATTTCTACACTGAAAATGATAAAATAATGATGAAAGAAACTGCAGAGGATGTGGGTAAATGGAAAGATATCCCCTGTTCATGAACTGGAAGAACTGCTAAAATGGCCATACTATAGGAAGTGGTCTACAGATTTAATGCAACCTCTATCAAAATACCAATGACACTCTTCATGGAAATAGAAAAAATAATCCTAGAATTCATATGGAACCACAAAAGACACTGAATAGCCAAAGCAATCCTGAGTAAGAATAAAAAAGCTGGAGACATCACACTACTTGACTTCAAAACATACTACACAAAGCTATAGGAGCCCAAAGAGCATGCTACTGGCATAAAAACAGACACACAGAACAATGGAATAGAACAGACGACCCAGAAATAAATTCACACATCATGGTCAATTCATTTTTGACAAAGGTAGCAATACCACGCATTGGGGAAAGACAGTCTGTTCTATAAATGGTGCTGGAAAACTTGAATACCCATATGTAATGAGGTTAGACCCCTCTCTCTCACCATATGCAAAAATCAATTCAAAATGGATTAAAGACGTAATGAAAAAAAAAGTATGAAACTACTAGAAGAAAATATAGGGGAAATGCTTCACAATACTGGGCTGGGCAAGTATTTTTAAATGAGACCTCAAAGCACAGGCAGCAAAAGAAAAGACACATTACATCAAACTCAAAAGTTTTTTGCACAGCAAAAGAAACAAAGAGACAACCTACAGAATGGGAGAAAACATCTGCAAACTACATCTGACAAGAGATATCTAAAATACATACTAAAAGAACTGCAAAAACAAAACAAAACAAAACAAAACAAAAACAACTAAAATAACTGCAAAGGAACTCAACTAAAAAAACCCAAATAACCCAATTAAAAAATGAGCAAAATATCTTAATACATTTCTCAAAAGGAGACAAAGAAATGGCCAACAGGTATATGAAAAATGTTCAAAACCACTAATTATCAGGGAAATGCAAATCAAAACCACAATGAGATACCATCTTATTCCAGTTAGAATGGCTACTGTCAAAAAGACAAAAGAAAACGAAGCATTGGTGAGAATGTGGACAAGAGAACACATACAGTTAGTGGGGATATAAATTAGTATAGTGACTATGGAAAACAGTACGGAAGCATCCCTCAAAACATTAAAAATACGAAGACCATACGATCGAGCAATCCCACTATGGGGTAGATATCCAAAGGACATGAAATCAGCATGTTGAAGAGATATCTTATATTTATTGAGCACTAATCACAAAAGCCAAGATACAGAATCAATCTAAGTGTCCAACAACAGACAAATGGATAAAGAAAATGTGGTACATATACACAATGGAATATGATTCTGTCAAAAAAAATAAAATCTTGTCATTGGCAACAATGTTAATGAAACTGGAGGACATTATATTAAGTGAAATATACCAGACACAGAAAGATAAATAATGTTGATCTCACTCACATGTGGACTCTAAAAAATGTTGCTATCATAGAAATAGAGAGTGTAACAGTGATGACCCAGAGACTGGGGAGAGGATGAGGATGGGAATGAGGAGCATGGGGAAAGGTTGGTTAATAGGTACCAATCTACAATTAGATAGAAGGATTAAGTTCTGGTGTTCTATGGTACACTAGGTATCTATGGTTAACAGTAAATTATTATATATTACAAAATAGCTAGGAAGGTTTTTAAATGTTCTCACCACAAAAAATGATAAATGCATGAAGTAACAGGTACCGTAACTACCCTAATTTGATCATTACACAATATACACACATATTAAAACATCAACTTGTACCCCATAAATACAACTGCAATGTGTCAATTAAAAATAAAATTTGTCTTTGAATATATCAGTACAAAGGACACAATGAAAAGACTAGAAAAAAAGTGCAAGACTGTACTAGACTTTAAATTTTTTTTTTTTTAGAGAGACAGGGTCTTATTCTGCCAACCAGGCTGGAGTGCAGTGGTACAGTCATAACTCACTGCAGTCTTAAACTCCTGGGCTCAAGCAATCCTCCTGTCTCAGCCTTGTGAGTGGCTAGGACTACAGACTACAGGTGCATGCCAGCACACTCAACTAATTTTTAATTTTTTTTGGTAGATAGAGGGGTCTTGCTTTGTTGCTTAGGCTGGTCTCGAACTTCTAGTCTTGAGTGATCCTCCCACCTGGGCCTCCCCAAGTATTGGGATTACAGGTGTGAGCCACCATGCCAGGCATGTGACATATTTTTATATACTCTTAAAATTAAGATTTTTTTTTCACCTTTCACTAGATAAAACATCAACATATTTTTAACAGAGTATTCCCTAACTCCACCAATGTTAGCTATTATTATATAGTGTACTGTTCAGGTCATTTACAAAGAGGACAAAGAGAAAAAGATTATAAAAACAAACTTATTTCCACAAGGACTTTGCTATGAACAAGCAATTATCAGAGAGCAATGGATTGAAGAAAGCCTACATGAATAATACAGTTTGTTTTCGATACATCAAAAATGCACTCTAAAAATAAGGATAAGGCTGGGTGCGGTGGTACACACCTGTAATCCCAGCACTTTGGGAAGCTGAGGTGAGAGGGCTGCTTGAGGTCAGGGGAGGCCAGCCTGGCTAACATAGTGAGACCTCAAACTTAAAAACAAAAATGATACATTATATGTACAACTTAACAGGTGAATACTATCAAATCATAGGTCAAAAGTTACTTTTGTAAGAATAATTTAAAAGTAGCTTACACCACATTCTTCACATTAAGTCCGTGAACAGTGTGTATATAATTTTTTTATGTGAAAACTCAAAATAATGTGTATATCTGATCAAAGAGCTAAAACATAACACATATTAAATAAAAACCCACTATTTAGTTATGTAAACTGATTAACATCTAAGAAGAGAATAATCAAATACTTAACTGAAATTATGCTTCAGAAATTTAACAAATGTTTCCATTTAACATTGAATTTTAGAATATAATTGAAAAGTACAGTGCTTGGCAATTTAAAAGTGAAAAGGAAATACCTAAAGAGTAATCTGAACGTACCATATCATTTGGCAAACAACACTTCAAAGAAAAAAGAAGAGAGAGACTGGCAACACTAAATGAACATGTTACATTAGCCATTCTTGGTAGAAAGTTTACTGGTACTTTTGTGTTCTTAAACTGATGATCTCTTAGTTAAAAAGAGAGTGTGAAGGCATGCACCAATAGAACACATGCCAGGTGAACTACAGAAGATAATTTAGCTCATTTTAAGAGTAAATAATTGTAAGATAAAAGTGGTATCCTGAAAGTGCTAATTATCTGTTGGCTAATTACAAACTGCTTTTCAATCTAGCTCTAGAATACATTATGTGGTTATACTGTGTACAATGAGAACCTCTTCAGTAACTTTTAAACAAA